ACCAAGGTCATATTTTGTCTCCACACCTTTGCACCTGACCGGAAGCAGTCAGGTGGAGATGCCAGTGTGGAAGAAGACAATTGAACCATGTGATGGATTTGTGGATGTGGGGACAAGATCATGAACTTTTAACTGGGTGGAATCCCATGAAGTTCTTTAGAATTGGGATTCCACAGATGTGCTAAGATGTCTGATTTATTAAATTGGAACTTTAAGGATCAATTTGCCTTGGACTCTGATTTAATTTTGGATGCTATTTGGAACCCCTGAAATTGACATTGTACAGGCAGTCCTTTACTTACGACCACAATTGAGCCCAGAATTTCTGTTGCTATCAAGGACTTGCCTGTATTAAATGGGGCACAGCAGCAACTGCTGTCCAACTTTATAACGATACGAAATCGTGATTTGGCCAAATTTTCCAAACGTTTTCATGGGACTCGTCCTGTCAAAAGTTTGAGTGCAATTAACGAAAGAGGGAAGATTGCAAGAATGCTGACTATAAGGAGACTTTCAAGGCAGCAAGAAACCTACCTGGGTTCATCTTAACTTCCATCTCACCTGTGGTCTTTCTTGCCTTTGATTAGGTAGTATGGATAAAAGGCCACGGCCATAAGAGGATTGTGGTTCTGAAGAACGACATGAAAAGTAAGTCATCCCCGTTTGGGGGTTAACTTTTCTCCATTTTGGAGCGAGGGGGGGAGGGAATATAGCCCAAATATCTTTCCCTCTATGATTATCTGTTAAAGGGAACCCTTGCTAACCTCCTCCTTTCTATTAGCTCGTTTTAGCTCCCCCAGTCTTCCCCTGGCTGACGAAAATGACGAAAATGAACTTGCCGATGGTGACAGACAATCCACAAAGGCAACAAGAATGGACAAATCCTTAGATTTGATTCTGGAAGCACCCAACATTGGTAATTGATTGATTTTACTGGCTGTTAGTTTCTACTTAGCATTGCTGAAACTTGTAGCCTTGAATAAGTAAGCCAAAAGATAATAGATAATAAAATTATATAATATTATTAGGTAATACTTATTAGCTATCTATCGGTGTGCGTGCGTGCGTGTGTGTGTGTGTGTGTCTGTGTTGTGTGCATTTGGTCCAGCATAACTCTGGAACGTCTCAAACAATTTCAACCAAAGTTGGTACACAGATGAGTTACCCTCTAGAAAAGAAACACTCTGGGGGTAAGACGCCCCTAAAACCCCTTGGGGTGTTTGTTCTGTTAAGATACAGCCTGTTGTGCCTTACAATGGCTTCTACCGTACTGCTTTAAAATGGCTTCTACTGTATAGCGCAGTGGAGTGGCCATGGTAACAGCTTCACAGTCCTCCACAAGGGGGCTCCCTCTGGTAAGGGGGAAAATCCAACATTAGAAATTACATTTGGTCCAGTTATTCCCCCCATCCCCCTATAAATAAATACCCGGGCAATGCTGGGTTAACGGCTAGTCTAAGAATAAAAAATAGATCAGCCCTGGAGCATGGATAGAATGATGGCTTGTTTCACATGTCCTTTTCCATCTCTATCTTCCAGCCCATTCTTTTTATTTATTTGTGACCCGTCCTTTTTTTTTTTTTTTGCAAATAACTCAAGGTGGCAAACATATCCAATGTGTCTTCCTCCTCCTATTTTCCCCACAACAACAACCCTGTGAGGTGGGTTGGGCTGAGAGAGAGGGGACGGACTGGCCTAAGATCACCCAGTTGGCTTTCATGGCTAAGGTGGGACTAGAACTTGAACTCAGTTCTCCCGCTTACTAGCAGGATGTCTTCACTTCTAGACCCTACTCAAGGAATAAGCATGGATTTGCAAGCTTGCTTTAATGTCTTTGAGTCTTGAGGCCACTGTGAGTTTCTTAAGGAGTTGCCTTCATTTTCTACCCTCTCTGCAGTCTCTAGTCAAACGGAGGAGGAGCTGCTGTGCCTCACCAACGCATCACCCGTGGATCTTTTATGCGAACCGGTCCCTTCCTGCCTTCCCTCCCCGCAGCTGAGACCAGATCCAGTGGTCCTTGAATCAACAGATCTCATCCGTTTCGAAGAGCATTCACCGATCCCTTCCGGTAAAGGTTAACGTTGCCTTTGAAAATCTGGCTCCACTCAATAGTAGCAGGAATCCTGACCATTACCGTATTTTTTGGCGTATAATACGCGGCGAAGTATAAGATGCACCTAGCTTTTGGGGAGGAAAACAAGGGGGAAAAATCTGCCTCTGCCTCCCAGCAATTTGCCTCCTTGCACCAAACAGCAAACAGTACAGAAGATATACACTGAGCCAAGGTGGCGCAGTGGTTAAATGCAGCACTGCAGGCTACTGCTAGATCAGCAGTTCAGCGGTTCAAAT